ATACCTTATCATGAGATGCACATAAGGATATCGAAGATATTTTCTGGTTAAAGCAACAGCTCAAACAATTGCAAACAAGCTTGCTACAATGTTTTGTTGTCTCGGGGGCAAGCGTACTGCCATTGAAGGTCCATGAAGAAAATGTGGATGACGAAGCCGTCACAACAAGTATAACAGCCTCGTGGAGGCAAGATATTACGTTTCGTAAGAAGAACAGTTAGATTGAAGAAAAATGAGAAATATTGAAAGCCGGTGAATAGTTTAAACAATCCAAATACAAATTGCTGTCAAACAATACACCTTTTGCCATTAGAATTTTTCCAATTTATGCAAAAATATTAACCCTAATTAAACATTCTACTACAAAATCTGTCCACAGAAAGGGAACTACCATTTTAGTGTGTCTCACCATGTTACGTTTAATAATGGTATTATGGTAACGAACTTCCACAAAAGGTCCACTTAGCAGAATTGGCAACAGAGAGCCCTTCAAAATCTGAATAAATATGTGTCATGTATTGCGTGTTCCTAGACACCACAAAGAAATGGCCTGGAACAAATGCAATAAAGAATTATAAATTGCTTGTTAATTGGAATGGGCTGCCTCACAATTCTTGGCCCCTTTTTACTTGGACCATTTTTTGTTTAAATGGGCTGATTAATTTCGAGTTTGAAACCATTTAAGAGAATCGGCTTTCTAAAATGCGACTTTATGCCTCTTAAGGGTTAAGTCTCAGCCGTACATGTGGTTGATCCTCACCCTTTGGATTGTGACTCTCATATTGACTAGATATTTAACTTAGTTTTGACCCTTACTCTTCAAGATGCTTCATGAGACTCTCTTTGTCTTTTCCCTTTCTCTGAATGAAGTTAAGGTTTTGTTTTCTCTTTGTAAAATATGTAGCCGATCTTAATGTTTTCTTCTATCTTGTGATGGAAAATGAGAGTTGAGTACTTTCATTGTTAAGGTTGAGTTGTGTGATTACTTTTCTGAAAAGAGGTTAAAGAGAAATCGAAGAAACATATGGTTTCTTCGTAAATTTGTTGTAACGATTTTTTTATTCTTCTTAGTGGATCTTGTGAAGTTAGGGTTTGGTTTTCTCTTTGTAAAATCTGTAGTCGATCTTAGTGTTTTCTTCTATCTTGTGATTAGGGGTGAGCGCGGGTCGGTTCGGTTCGGTTCTCTTTATGGAACCGTCGGGTCCAAATATAATTATGGAACCATTCGGGTTCGGTTCTGTACTATAATTAAATTTTTTAACATTTATAACAACATTATATAAATACAACTAATGATACATTCAATGGTTTTAGAATTTCAGAGACTAGTAAACTATCTTGTTCAAATAATCGCTACGATCAAAGTTTCGGTTGGCGAAGGTCACAGCTTCAATCGGAGGTCACATTGTCGACCGATGATTGTATAGGTTTTGGAATATTAGCGAGGCTGCGAGAGTGAGTGCGAGAGTCGAGACAACGTTATACACTTTAGTGTTGGTGTTTAAGGTTATTAGTGGATTTGATCTTGCTTGGCTAAGAAATGAAACAATAAAATGGGTAATTGGGCCAAAAATTAAAAAATTAGAAATGAAACAAATTATTAGGCCAAAAATTTGGATAGAAATCGTTAATTTGTTTAGAAAAAATTAAAATTAAAATAATTTGATTTACTCAATATAAAAAAAAAATTAGAAAGATTTGGTTCTTGGTCTAGAACCGAGAACCGAACCGTATCCGTCGGTTCTCAATTTAGATACCCGTTCGGGTATTTAATTTGAGAACCAAACTTTTCGGGTATCTAGTAAATGGAACCGTCGGGTCCAAATATAATTATGGAACCGTTCGGGTTCGGTTCCATTCGGTTCGGTTCGGATCGGTTCGGTTCCGTTCGGTTCTGTACTATAATTAAATTTTTTAACATTTATAACAACATTATATAAATACAACTAATGATACATTCAATGGTTTTAGAATTTCAGAGACTAGTAAACTATCTTGTTCAAATAATCGCTACGATCAAAGTTTCGGTTGGCGAAGGTCACAGCTTCAATCGGAGGTCACATTGTCGACCGATGATTGTATAGGTTTTGGAATATTAGCGAGGCTGCGAGAGTGAGTGCGAGAGTCGAGACAACGTTATACACTTTAGTGTTGGTGTTTAAGGTTATTAGTGGATTTGATCTTGCTTGGCTAAGAAATGAAACAATAAAATGGGTAATTGGGCCAAAAATTAAAAAATTAGAAATGAAACAAATTATTAGGCCAAAAATTTGGATAGAAATCGTTAATTTGTTTAGAAAAAATTAAAATTAAAATAATTTGATTTACTCAATATAAAAAAAAAATTAGAAAGATTTGGTTCTTGGTCTAGAACCGAGAACCGAACCGTATCCGTCGGTTCTCAATTTAGATACCCGTTCGGGTATTTAATTTGACAAGAACCGTCGGGTTTGGTTCGGGAGATTTGCCCAGTCCTACTTGTGATGGAAAATGAGAGTTGAGTACTTTCATTGTTAAGGTTGAGTTGTGTGATTACTTTTCTGAAAAAGAGGCTAAAGAGAAATTGAAGAAACATACGGTTTCTTCGTAAATTTGTTGTAACGATTTTTTGATTCTTCTTAAAGGATCTTGAGCTATATCTATTGTAAATGCTCAACGAGTGATTAAGTTGAAAGACTAAACATCAGGGCCTCTTTTTTAGGACGAAACATATCTTTGTGTTTTAATCTTTTTTAATGTTCTGCAAATTACTTCTGTGAAATTGTTATTACCACGAAATAATGAAATAATTCACACCAAAAAAAATTCGTATCTGGGCCTTTACATTGCTAAACATAGTTACACACATATTCACACCAAAAAAAATTAAAAAAAAATTAAAAAAATGAAGAGATCGAGACAGAAAAGTAAAAAAGGCTGACAAAATTTATGTACTAACTACTAAGAAGTGAACTTCATACGTATCGGATTGCTATAGTGGTCAGTAATGTAGCGAGACTTGGTAAAAATTTTGATATTGGAGCTTGAAATGAGCACAAGCTAAATAATCCCATTCTTCCAAGTAGCAGTAGCATAGATTTCAATAAAGAGATTTAATGGTTGTCACATATGACATTTGAAATTACTGTAATTGGGTTTGATTCATATAATTCGTGACAGAAGTCTTTTAAGAAATTTTATCAAACACGTGATTCGAAAAAACATGCGACCAATATATCCAAGTAAAAGTTCTCACCTCGATTCGATGAAAAGTTCTCCTCTCCAGGTTTCGGCTATGAAAATCAGCATTCATTTTGCCTTCTTTTTTGTTATCCATTTTATTTTATCATTACCTAAATAAAATGTATGTCATCATGATCATGCTACACATATAGGGACAGGTCTCTCGAAACTTTTTTTAACAGATAGACACACAGCAGAATTTCATTCATTTCAATCAAAACAAACAAAAAAGTACACAATACAAATACTAACAACTGAGCACCTATATGGCGTATAGAGAATTGCTCTAGATTAAAACCTCATTAGGTAATAGTTTACTAATGAAATTCGAAATTTACCATAATTTCATCTATTTGTATTTCGATAAAATGTTAAATTAAAATAACGAATGGTATTTATAATAATCACAATACAAATTTTATTTGTTCCACTATAATTACAATGAAAATTTCTCGATATTTGATCGTTACAACATTTATATTCTCATCCTCAACTTCCATTAATTAAAAATATTGTCTCATACGACGATTTCCATCCAAAAAATTCATCATGGGCGTATTAAAATACTTGTTTGCCTCTCTTATTTATGAAAATAAGCAATAACAAAAGTTCGACAAAAATTATACACCTCTCACTTCAAGACACGTTAATATAATATTGAGACACAAATTGTCATTGAAAACAAGATGCGCAAATTATTTAAGGTTAAGGATACAGATTCAGCAAAAACTTCTAATCCCCTTTATTTCACTTGGATTATCCAAATGCCGCAAAAACTAACTATAAATTACATAATGAGTCGATACAATTTAGCAAGCAGCAGTAATTTGGTGAGTCACTGGTCATGTCCAGGTGATTAGCCAGCCACCTCAAATTCATCAAAACTTAATCAACCAGACAGAATAAAGTTGGTTAGCAACATTTGTAACTACCAACAGCAAGTTTGGCACTCCTCTGTTCAATTTGTATATATGTAACTTGTGTCAAACAAGATCGAATCAGAAACAAGTCAAAATATAAGTAACTAATATACTAACCACATATTTGGAAAAGTGGATTGTGAGAAGCTACAAACCAAACACACCCAAGATCCTAAGACATGCTGACTTTAACAAAGTGCGTGTAACAATAAAGTAACATGTTCTCAGTTCTATGAAAATGTGAAAGCATACATGCTGAAGAACACAGATACATAAAAATAATTACCGAAAAAGTTATGTCAACAAGCATATCATATTTACAGAAGCTTTGTTGTAGGAAGCAAGACGAGAACTATAAAAAATACGCATCAAAGAAGGTCGATTTTGAGAACTAGAGTTGATTTGTCACACAAAATATAGAGTTCTACTTGAAGAAAATCACAGGAAATTAGGAGCGACAAAGAAAAGTTGGGTCAGGATACTACTAATTTCCCCTATACATCTACCAATTTTTCCAACAAATTAAGGTCGTGAAACATATGAAATTTCCACCTTTTCTCCAACTTTTCATTTAACCTTCTTCTTTTTCTTTTTTCGATTTTCTCCACCCTAAACAGGAGAATTCCATACTACAGAAAAACATGGAGAATTTCATGCCTAGTTTGAAGTTGATACTAAATGCACAGTATCATCACCAGATAATGCACGCCATGGGAATCCCTTTCAACCTACATCCAATTAACAACGCTAAGATATGCCAGTATAAAAAGAGGAATCATATCCTCTGGAATAAACAAAACTAAGGTAACTGTTCTGGTTTTAAGAGAAATTCAGCAACTACATTAACAATAACCGAACGAAACACCATTCAAAGCTGATATATATTTCTTACACAGAAATTATAAATATTAGCATGCAACATTCAAGGTACATATCAGATAGTGCACATCATGGAATTCCATTCAGCCAACATCCAACTTGACGCCACAAAGATATACCAGTAATACCCCATATTTTAAAGAAATATAAGGCAATTAGAGTAAAAGGGAAATAAAATAGAAAAACAAATGTACTTCAAGGAGCAATTCAGCAATGGTATTAACTCAATGAAACACCATTCTTTTACTTGGTGGGCAAATCCTAATACATAATAATAGAGCAATGTAGAATTTATTTTTCCTGGTCCTGGATTTCCTCTTCCTGCTGTTGTCCATAACGACGCTTAAACTTTGCAATTTGTCCAATACTTTGAGCCATCTGGCGCTTTGCCCTGAAATGATAGACTTTACCGACTTGGTGTATTTTAGTCATCATAACGGGAATTAATCGACCACTCTGGGTAACATAGGATATCCATTGCATCTGAGGGTGGATTCCTTTCTTCATCTTTCCTTCAAAAAATTAACAAATGAAAAAACAACTTAGCAATAAACCCATTAATTTTAAATAACCGAAGCACCAATGAAGCTCGAACTGTACAAATTTAAAGAATCCCAATCTTACGCAGTGGCAATTAAGTAGCATTATTACAGTTTGAATAAGAACACGCATTAGGTATTGTATATGAAAGTTAAGATTACTGTAATTGGGTTAATTAATTTTAGATCATGAAAGCATCTTTGGAGCATTTTATCAAACACGTAATGGTTACATGAAGTAACAAATCCCTAATTGTACAATTGAAGCTCCCAAGTATTTGATGTTGCAAATAACATATGTTTACATACACACACATGAGGTACGGTGGATAAGTTCAAGGCCGATTGGAAATTTCTTCGTATGATTCTATCTGGGTTTGAGATGGGTTTTATCTCATAGGAGAGAAGGTTTGAGTTATAAGCATTAAAGTATCGTGTCAGGTCCTCTATCCGCTTTCGGTTTGTGATATTCACTCTCCCATAGCACTTTTCCCATGCCATTCTCTAATTGCCAAATAAATTTATTTGATTACTTGTGACACTCAATTTGGTTACACTTAGCACAAATATGATTTTAATTAAATTAAATCAAGTGAATTTTATCAAGTATTATCTCAAAATTTTAAATAAATTTACCTTGTAAATTGCTTCGATTTGAGGAGGACTGGTGTTTAAAAAATTCTGCACACTTTTTTCTCAAAAGCAGAGTGCAAGTATAGAATGAGGGATAACCATTTAAGGAGCAAAAAGTAACGATTAGTAAGAGGCATACTGCTAACCAGTCTCGATGTGAGCCTAGAACAATAGGTAATGGGGGCTGAGATTTTAAAGGAAAAAAGTCAATTTATGAACAAAACAATAAACTCAGCCCCTTTTTCTTATTCACAACTCCAAGTGAACCAAAATTTCGCCGAACATTTTATGCTAAAAAGCTCTCATAAAGCTTAAACCATTATGACACTCAAAAATTTAAAACCATTTCTAGCCTTGAATCAACCTTTTGAGGTATATTCATCAAGAAATTACTAATAAAATACAAAGAAAAAAAGGCATCCACTTAATTTTCCCAATAAATAAAATGCAAACAACAGAATAAGAAATAAATAGATAAATTTCACACAAACCAAAAATACTCCAGAAGGTTCTAACAAGGACAGACACACGTCATACTTAATCAAATTTCAAATTTCAGAAACACTGTAAAATCAAATCAAATTAAAGCAAGGAAAAATTACTAAAGAATAAAATTAAAATACAGATTGAAGTTTGCTAAGGTAAATTCAAAACTCAGCAATGATTACTTGCATCAAAATTAAATAAACCCAAAAAAAAAAATCCTAAATAATAAAATAAGCATTCTAATTACTTACTGAAATTGCAGCAAAAAACAAAATTAACAGAAGACTTACCTCAGTCCGCAGACAGGAATCGGCTATGGTATTTTTTTTCAGTTTTTTTTCCTGATTGCCAAACTGAAAACCAGAGAGACTATGAAATCAGCTCCATCTGCAGAAATTCGGGAAAGAGTGGTGGGTTTAACTTGAGGTTTGATACATTTTCTTTGGGATAATTTTGGACTTTGGGATTTGGGCCTCGGGTGGTGGCTTTATTGGGTTTGTAATTGGGCTTGAGGTAGATAAAAAATGAGGAAATTATAGCCATTGAGGTATTTTAAGTTCATATTTATTTATTAAGTGATTAGGTTCCATAATTCAGAAATCAGATCGTAATTAATTATTTATCAACATTTTAATATATTTATTATCTCTAACCGTTCCCACTTTTTACGTTAATAGTAGAGAGAGAAAATTTTTAAATAAGGGAAAGAAATCTTTCTAAACTGCTCAACCGCACTCTACATCCCTCAACGATCAACCGTGATATAAGATATTTACCCTAAATCTTAAACCGTCTTCATCTATCTTTTCGTATAGTGACCCGAAGTTGAACAAAGCACTGCAAGGCTTTGGCAATGGCGAAAACCCAAAGTTGTGACCGAAAATCACAAAAAAGAAAAGAAAAAAAGACCGTCCCTCTGCAAGCCATCAACTGAACACCAAAAGTCCACAAGTCGGCAAACGTGACGGTGATGAAACCCCGAAAACCTCCATCGAGTCTCGAAGACAAAAATCGAACAATGTAAGTGTTCTCTGCAGTCTATTGAGTTAAATGAGCACATAGGTAAATGATTTTTGAACTCCCTAAGTGATTGTGAACGGAGTATTACGGTATTGATCCGAAATTTTCATTTTATGATGTGGTTTATTGGTAATTCTTGTGTGACTATTTTTCAATTTCAAATATGACTCAATGGTTTCAATTGAACTGTGGTTGTGACCTGTGGGTTTGTGACCATTTTTTGAACTCGCTAAATGGTTGTGACCTATGGGTATGTGACCATTTTTTGTCCTATGCAGATTTGTGACTATGGAATTTTGTAATCCTCGTGTGACCATTTTCAATTTCAAATGTGACTCAATGGTTTCAAGTGACCTGTGGGTTGGACCTGTGGTTGTGACCTGTGGGTTTGTGACCATTTTTTGAACTCGCTAAATTGTTGTGACCTGTAGGTTTGTGACCATTTTTGTCCAATGCAGATTTGTGACTATGTAAATTGGCCCATGTTTTTGTAAACGTTTTGAGTGATTTTTGAAATAATAATGGTAACACGTGTTACAATTTTTGAAAACACTTGTGACTCCATCAGTGTGTTGTGAGAAATGATTGTGATCTATGTGATTATATGTTTTTATGTTTGGATTTGTATGTGTGCATGATAAAGGTTTTTGACATCTGTTCCCAATTTTTGTAATGTCTTGTAGGAATGGAATTACATACTCCCCCAAGACCTATGGTTTCTTGGCAAAATTACAACTAATGTGACCAGGAATGTGTTGAGCAATTTCAAATCAAAGTTCACAGATGAATAGAAGCTTATTCTGGCAGACACTTGTTTTTCCTTTTACATGGATTGCCAGGAAATTGTGGTGCAGCCTCAACTGATACACTACTTTTGTTGAGGGAGGTGAAGCAATCGAACCCCAATGAGATGTGGTTCAAGGTTGCAAACAAATATGTTCGATTTTCTATGTCCGAGCTCTGTGTAGTCACTAGAATGAGATGCAATGATAAGGACATCAGGAAAAATCTTGAGCATATTCCTTCCAGGATTAAGGGAACATATTTTGGAAATTTGAAACTAGTTACAAATGAAGATGTGCGCGATGCGCGATGTATTCTTGAACTTGTTAGATGTAGACGATCATAATGTTGTAAGCATCGGGATTTTATACTTGATAACATCTTTTTTGTTTTCCACGTCAAATAAGAAGGTGGTTGAAAACTACGTATTTGCCTTAGTAGAAGACTTTGCTGCGATGGAGCGATTTTCCTGGGGTAAGGAGTTGTTTGAGATGTCTATAAAATCTCTAAAAGAGGGTTTGGGTCATAGGAATCCCCACTACAGGCTGAAAGGGTTTTTGATTGCATTTCAAGTCTGGATTTATGAATCAATTTCAAGTCTTACTGGACCTGTAACCAATAGGATGGAGAATAGGCACCCCCGCATTGTGAACTGGGCGTTGAACAGACTGCCGTCTACAGTTAAATTGGATGAAGAGGTCTTCTCCAAGCCTGACGTAAGTGTGAATCTTTTGATTCTTAGTTGTTGTTCATTGCTATTGCAGTTACATATTAAGGGTCACAACAGATATTATATAGCGTAAAGGTCACAGTTATGTACACGTTAGCCACACATGATTTGGTCATTGCATGTTTCACAGATAACACACATGAAATATATGCTACATTCACCGTGTGATATCATCAAGTTTCCATCGCACGATAATGACACTGAACATGCTTATGTCACAAAACTTTGATAATCAATATGTTCATAGATAACTGATATGATTATTAATTATATCACTGTTGCAGATTGAAGTTCGTTATATTATTCTGTCTGATGATGAAATTGTAGCTCCATATATAAAATGCATTTTGTACAAGAAACCTTTGCAACCACATGTACGAGAGGACATGCAATTTGGTGATACAGGCGACGCAGGCACGAGTGCCCATGCCCAATCTCCAAACAGACCACGGTTGTTAATGATTATAGATGGATGTAAAGGGCATTCAAGTGATGTTGAAGATGATGATGACGACGACGATTTTGTTGATACACCTCCGAAAAGGAAAAAAGACACATTCCCGTTTCCACCCACCTACTGAGGAGCATGCAACATGGGAATATTATCCTACGGAGCCAGAGGGGCATGACATCCATACTTCACCCCAGCTGCAGGCTACTCATGCAAATGATGAACCACAATCAGCTGTAAGTTATCTAGTCTTTTTATTTATGAAGTCACAATTTTGGCAATTACGTCCCAATCCCAGGTCACATAACAATGTGTTAAATTGTCAGATCACACATATTTCAACAAGTAGTAGACCTGTGTGTATAGGTCACAGATTTGCTGAATAAGGTCACAAACTAGTGCCTGGTCACAGTTTACTGAGAAAAATGTTTTTATCTCACATTATTGTTTCACAAATCCCAAACATATATCTTATATATTTGAACTGGTCACAAATCACAACAATGTGACATAATCATTTTACAATTATTTTGCTTACAGGTGTTTGAAAAGTTGAAAGAGGAGTTACGTGGACAGATGTCTGAACTCCAGTGTACTAATAAAGATTTAACAGTGCAGCTCAAGGACCTGAAGTCACAACTATTAGACTTAAAACGAGATAGAAGCAATCAGATTGATCACCTTATCCGTGTCCAAGGTGAAATTCGATTGGACATGATAGAAATACGGTCGAGCATGACATTCTTGTCTGATTTTGTTATTGCTTTAGTATTGAGCACGATGGACGTAATTGTAGCAAAAGCAACTGAGAAGAGTGAAGGTCACAGTGTTGGAGATGCACCACAACAGGAGAAGTTACGTAATTCTATAATTGAAATCCCTTTTTGTAGTGATTAACTTAAGTTGTCTATTAATAGTGTTACAGCAGGATATAGACATTCAACAACATATCGATAGGAAAGGCAAGGGCAAGATGGACCCAGCTGACGAAATTGAATATCCATCCTTTCCTCCGCCGTCTTTCGACTTGGGTGTTGCTTTAACACCAATCATTTCTAATGAGGTTGATGCTATCATAGTTGGTGTGGTGAAGGACTGTGAAATTGAGGAGCAGGCTAATGTAGCGATAAAGGCCATAAATGAGGATCAAGTACTTCTTACGGTCACATAATATATTGTCTGTACAAATATATTTATTCAAACAATGTATTCATTATTTTTCGATATGCATGCAGGGGTCTCCTCCTTCTGTACCAACATCAGGTTTGCCAGTTAAGAGAGCCCCCAAATCCACACGGATACTACAGTCCCCGTATGTTACCAGTGCTGGAAAACAAATTAAGCATTCCGGTGATGCTATTATTTTCGACAAGCATGACAAGCATGTGGATGAGGCTGATGTTGTTACATTTCAAAATTGGTTTAACAGAGGTTATAAACCACGAAACAAGTAAGAACATCTGATGTCGTGTGCTCTTATTTATGAAGTTGGGTAATCTGGGGTTTTAATTTATATGTAGCTGTTATTTTCCCATTTCAGAAAGAAGTTTAATGATGTTGATGACGTCATTCGTCCACCTTTTGTACTCGATTTAATTCCTGTGGGGTCAAAAATCTGGTGGCATCAACTTATAGATTCAGAATCTTCATTGAGTAGCACAGTATGATCCTTGAAATTGGTCACATATTACAAGTCACAATATTATGTACATCGGTCACACACTTACAGGTCACAGATAAGTGAAATGGGGTCACAGATCACACATGCAGAGGTCACAGATTCCTGAAATTGGGTCACAGATCACATCAGTGTGCACATGTCACTGAAGTATGTGAACTATATCACAGGTCACAATATTATGCACACAGGTCACAATATTATATATATGTCATAGTTGTTTTGAAATGGGTCACAGATTGGAGGTTTCAATATTCACAGGTCACCAGTCTTCTGTGTGAGGGACATTAAATGTGTGCCACACTTTACAGCATTCATAAGTCACTCTTTCCGTGCTTTTAAACTATCTGTCACATTTTACAGCATATGGACGCCTGTTTTCACTATCTGCGACAGTTTGCCCTGAGAAGTCAAGATGCAAGATTATGTGCTACCACAACTGACTGTCTGTTCCACGCTAATATAAAAAATATTTTCCCCCAGTTTCAGAAAGATCTAGATGTGATATTGATGGATAAATAGATGTTGCTACTGGTAGAAATTTAGAATTCAATCGCCCTCGGTCTGAAGTTGATTATGTGTTTTTGCCAATTTTGCCAATCAATTGTGCATATTGGATGCTCTGTAAACTCGACATAAAAAATCATAAGATGTACATATACAACTCAAGCTACAAGACTTGCCGTGAGAAAATGATTTTGCTCGGGGTTGACCCCTTTGTCAGGGTTATCCTGAAATTGTTGTTCACTTTGGGCATATGGAAAAGAATC